TTATTTTAATTGCCATATTCTTGCCGTACCCGTATTCTAGTTTTTAGAAATTAACCATATTGGAATATCGTATTGCCATATCCGTACCCGTACTCGTGCAACATTGACCCTCACACTGACAGGTGTTAGTTAAGCCCAACCTGGGTTTATCTTTAGCCCCTCATTAAGAGCACCTCCACCCCAAAGGGCAAGGTTTGTCACTATTCATGTGAATAGTGGCAGCCTTGCCTTTTTTGGTTCCACCCCAAAGGGCAAGAGCAAGGGCAAACACTATTCACTTTAATTTATTTTCTATTTTTTATGCTTAAACCATTAATTTTGATAAGCTTTTCGAATAAGATTTTTGGTTGCCACTGTCACTATTTATTATAAAATTCTTACATAAAATTTCAGATAACATTTTCGGATACAATTTTCAAATTAAATTTTCAGATAAGATATTTGGTTGCCACGTGTCCATATTTATTATAAAATTTACATCTCAGTCATCATACAATTAAAATACTCTCGGTCCTCATAGTTCGACATAATCGAGTACAAGAATGACTCAATCATTGGCAAAGGTGGTCCCACCGAATCACAATGTGGGGGAGTATTTTCCCTCGGAGGATGTAATAGTGTCATTATTTCCAACACGGAATGCACCACTGGAACCAACTGTGGGCATTATTTACTTGAGGAGCCATGTGTAACGATTTTCCTCTTTTTAGGTTTGCCTTGAATAATCTATTAAAAAAATGAAATTGGAAATGCAAGAAATATATATATATATATATATATTTTAAATGACATCAAATTGAATAAAACGACAATTAATTTTTTTTTACCTCATCGCCAAGATTTTGAACTCTTTGAACGTTTGTCAACGATCCTCCAACTTCGAAGGAAGAGGTCATTTGTATTTTTGCACAAATGAAATTTTGTAGAAAATTTGGTGCGGAAAGTGAAAAATATTGAAATGTGATGAATTTGTATCAAGATTTGGTGTGTTAAGTGAATAATATTGGTAGGTATTTATAGAAAAAATTTTCAAAATATTTTGATATTTTTTATAAAAAAATTTAGCCAAAAATTGGACAGCCGTTGGATTGTATAAGATTTTTGGATCAGAGGCTCCAGGAGAAAGCCACGTGGCTTATAGCCGTTGGTTTCTATGGGATGGTGGGTCAGCGCTGACGTCAGCGGCTGATTTTCAAATTTTTTTTTACAGTTGGCTCGTATATTTCACATGCCAATAGTAATTTTTTTATAAAAAAAAAACAGCCACTGACGTCAGCAGCTTCGGGCCTAAGCCCAGTCTAGAATTGCCAAGGCTGGTGGGTCCCCTGCCTTGCACGGGCTGCCTTTTGGGCGCTGGAGGTGGAAATCATGCCTGGGGGGCCTGTTGCCAACTGGGGGCTTGCATTGCACTTGCTCTAACAGGTGTTAGTTAAGCCCAGCCCAAAATTAGACGCACGCTATGGAAAACATGCGCGCTCTGGTCGTCTTGTTCGTATCAACGTTTTCGTCGTCCCAAATCACTCTTGCCGCAAAATAAACCATCAGCTGCTACCTTTTTGCAAAGAATTGTGATCTTGTTTTCATTTTAGGGTTCTAATTCTAGGAGACAGGCCCAAACCCCCTCATCGTTTTTTCTGTTTTTTGGTACTTCCAGGTATGAGATGTATCGTTTTTTCTGCTTTTTGGTACTTCCAGGTATGAGAGACATCTGGTTTTGCTACCCTTTATTTTTTCTTAATCATTATTTTTATTATTATTTGATGTTCATACCAAAATGAACAGCCAATAAGAACAAGACACTTGGATGAAATCGAACCTGGTCACGACTGCTGTCACGCCCCGAATTTTCAACAACAATTAATCTGCAAAATTAAACAGAACAACCAACGATCCGGGACGCGAAGCTCGGCTGCCTTCGGCACCTAGCCTACCGATCCGTCCATTAGGGCAACTCCCTTCTCCGGGACACGTGACATGCTCACAGCGGACGTCCACAGTCCCACATCGAAATTCTAAACAATATGCACACCTCCCAAGGCCTATAAAGGAGGACAACTATCCTAAAATAGAGATAATTAGAACTCACGGCATACAAGCCTATTGATATGTCAGTTTAACTTACTAAATCCGAACTTACTTAAGCATCGGAGAGCCTTCGGCCGGTACCACACCGGTGCCCTAGGTCTTACCGAGCGTTTGCTCATCTTGCAGATCCCACGCTCTACCGAGGCCCAAAGCATTCCGAAGGCCCAATATCACTAAGTTGAGCCCGAAAGTGCCCAACCACTTTTTAGCATCAACATTTGATACTGGGTTATGCTTTGGAAAATCTTATGGTATTCATATGGTTTTACCTTGTGGGTTGTTTGTTTGCGAAAAAAAATACAGAAGAAGATGCGTTTCAGTATTGGATTTGTGTGGGTTTTGTTGAATTGGTGATTTGGATAGGATTGAATGTTTTCTGAAAATTATTCATATTCAAACTCAGCAAACTACTAGTCAGTGTAATTGCTTAGTTTTTGTAATTGAAAGCTAACTTGTGTGTGTATAAAAATGACAGGCTTTACTGTATATATATATACCATTGGAGGTGTGCTTTGTAACATTTCTTTTCGTTTCATTCCTTTTTATTTTAATTTTGATATAGACTGTCATGTACATACATACCAAAAGGTTTTGTTCAACTGAAAAGATTGATGTAGGGAATTTATTCTCATGGTGTAAGGAACTAAGTCATGAATGGAAAATGTGATCCAAGTCTGTTTCTTGTGATCTTTGTTTACAACTTTGGCCTATATTTAGGGGACTTTATTTATCTTGAGTTGGCTTTAAAAATGAGATTTAGAGGGAGAAAACTACTTGACCACAAGAGTTGGTGATGACTGATGACAACAATAAAAACTTGATCTCAATGCCCCTAGCCTTAGGCTTATGAAGCCTACTATGTTTCCAACTCTAGGAAAGCTTTTGGGCAGGCATTGTTTTCATAATAAAATTTATGAAATTGCTAGAGAGTGTCATATGTAAGGTTCAAATCAGGGAAGAGTGTCATTGTTTTCATAATAAATTTTATAATAAACTCTAGGAAAGCTTTTGGGCAGGCATTGTTTTCATGATAAATTTTATGATATTGCTAGAGTGTCATATGTAAGGTTCAAATCAGGGAAGATTCAAACTTAAAATCCCTTCCAACATTAGAAAGAAAAATACCATTAAACTAATTAGTAATTAGTTATTAGAAATACAGTTGGCAACATACAAATGCATACAATTGTCAATCTACAATTTCTTTGCTACCAGGGAAGACCCAAACCAAGAGGTTGTGATATAAAGTGGGTGAAAATTCTGCTTTTTCGGTTGTTGCTTGGTAAATAATACTAAGAATAATAATGAAACACACTTGTAGTTGGTTTTGATTTTGGATTCTATTCTTTATCTGTAAGCAAATATCATGCTCTTTGTTTCCTGCAGTACTTCTCATAATGGAATTTTGATTTCAATGTAAGTTGTAACTAAGTTCAAGCATAATTAGTTTCTAGTAAAGGATTTTTCTCTGCTCATAATTGAATTTTCCTAAGTTTTAATTGTAGTTTCTGGTTGTGTGTGCACGTCTCTTGGGGACCTTTGTCTGGCATTGGTTTAAAAATTTAATGTCACTGTCTGAATCATTCATTTGTGTCTCGTAATATTGTTTTGTTGTAAAATCTGTTTTGAATTTGATGAAAAGTTGCTCTAGCATCTGGTTGATGGCTTTATAAAAGCTGAATTTAGCATTATGTATCAATTGGTTATGGTTCTAGTTATGGCAAAAGTAATTAGATATTTCTGTTTGAGGCTTGTGAATAGAATCAAATATATACTTGCTTTGCCTAGTCTACAATCATCGACTCTGCTACTAAGATATTCTTACTACCACTGAGGACTACATCAGCATCTGTGTAAAGCTCTTGAGGTTGGGAGCAACTTAGCTACATGATTAAATAGCAATTTATGCTGAATAATGCCCTTGTATTTCAGGAAAGTGGAATGGATTCAATATAAAGTGGTAGTACCACTCAAAAAAGGCTTGCATGAAGCAGAGGCGTCATCGTTTTCGTCTGAAACCCTAGAATTCAGATTGCAGTCGCTGTAATAGCTATTTGCACTCAATTGACTGCCAAATCCAAGGTCAGCTTCTTTTTCAATTTCTGTTAATCATATGTGAAATACAATTCCATTTTTTCAGTTAATTATTTGATTGATACAACTGGGTAGTAAAACTTTTTACCTTTTTTTGTCTTTTGCTATTTTCATATGTAATTAATTAGAATTTAGATGTTATGGAGGTACAACAGAATATGATTTGTGTAGGTTAGGGGGCTATTTGGTATTGCTAACTAATCTTTCTTCTGGAAAAGCTGACTGCTTCTGTTAAAAGTGCCGAGACTGGTTGAAAACTTTAGGCAAGGTTATTTAATTCATAATTTTAGGCCTTTAATTGTTGATTATTGTAGTTTTGGTCTTTTCTAAATCCTGATCAAAAGTTTTCATCCGACTGTTTAAATTTTTCTGTTTTGTTGTACTATTAGGGCTTCCTAATTTGAAGCTGATATGGATGCAATTAATGTTATGCTTGAAGGGAAGAGACTTCTCTCAGTTTTTCAGTGGATGTGATATGTTGTAATGGATGTCAGGGCTGCTTTGCAACCATTTTGCTTTCTGCTATGAGTTTTATTTATTTAGTTATTAATTTTAAGTTAAAGGTCGAGAGAGAAAATCATGTGCGGGAAATGAGATAGGGAGAAGGGAGGAGGTAGTGAAGAGGAAAGAGAGCAGGAGGACGGGGAAATGGAGAATGTATGAAAAACTTGAAAAAAAATATTGGAAATTGTTTTAAGTTTTAGTTTTCATTTTATGTACCATTCCATCACTAGTTTTCATTTTGTTATCTATTATTTTATGTGAATTTCAAATGCATGGATTTGAAATCCAAATGCTTCCATCCAACCGGGCCCAAACTAATGGTAGGTGTCATGTTAACGTATATACTTGTTATCCATCTCAAAGATTATACGACTTCCCTCTCTCTCCCCCAACTGGTACAGTCCCCTGAGGTTCCTTGGAAGTTCATGACCAAGCGTTTGATAGCCATGGAAGGCCAGTCTGTTACATATGTTGTCGACTCTAAGAACAGTGACAAGTCTGAGACTGTTGTGGTATGTTAATGTTCCACTTTAAGCTTGTAGTGTTGGTTTTGTTTTGAGCTCTGGGTTTTTGGGTTTGAAAGTTTGCGTTTTTGTTGTTTTGGGATTTAGGAGATTATATTGTTGTTGTTGTTGTTGGTGCTACTAGGTTCCTAAGGGGCATGTTTGGATAGAGGGAGAAAACATCTATGAGTCAAATGATTCAAGAAAATTCGGGGCGGTTCCTTATGGCCTTCTACAAGGCAGAGTCTTTTGGAGGGTGAGAATCTCTTCTTCTTGTACCTCAATTTGAATTATTTGCATATACATCCTTTTACGTTGGTTTTAGATAGAATCGCTAAGCATAAAGGAACACATCTATGTTGGTTTTCAAGTGGAATTGTTAAAAAGATATGCCTTGAATTTATGAGTGGTATGATTCGTGGGTTTGGGAAAGAATGTATGATGTGTAGTTCGATAGAAGTTCAAATAGTAATGAATATGTGGTAAAAATTTGCAAGCGATGAGATACATGCTGTTATGTTTTTCCCAGGGAAGATTGAGAATATGTATTTTTACTGGTAGAACTGAAGTCCAATGGATGTGAACAATGAACTGTCTTTTGGGTATTTCTATTTTCTACTACTAGAATACTAAGATTTCTTATTTTTGATCTTTTTGTCATTAGATATGGCCACCTAAAGATTTTGGATCGTTGGCGCAAAACAAAGGGAAGGATTCTATCTCGTGAAGTACACTTATTGAGCATGCGCACTGTTAGTTCCTTGTATGTAATTACAGAATCTTGTTGTAGTAGGGAATATGGAAGCTTGTTTGTAGAATGGTCTTTTTTTTTATAAAGAAAAGTGGTTCAGAAAAGGCATGAATGAAGAATCGTTTCTCTTTCTGCTTTATTTCCCTTTCTGGTTCTCGGTACCTATCATTTTCATGTTCATTGAGACTTGTTTTCTTGTTGAATCTGCAGTCAGTTTCGACTTAAATAGTTGATGTGAAGTTTTGCAAGATAGTGATAGCAAAGAGCAGAGAGAAAAGAGACCTTTCCAGTTAAGGGCGCGACATTATTGATAGTTCACAGACATCTTGAACCACATTTGAGTTATTGCCATTCAATTTTCGTTTCTGGAGAAAAAAAATATCTTGTAAATCTTAGTCAATTTTTGGTTTGAAATTCTATGAACAAGATCCTAGATTTCTGTGGTCCAATCTGTAAATTCACCGACAACTCATATTTTGGTAATTCTCCTTTGATGTAAAGGTTTGCTATTTACAAGATTGGCTTTCGATGGAAGTGGTTTATGAGGTTAAGGAACCAACTCTTGGATTGGAGGAGTCATGGAAAACGAAGTCATATTTTCCTGAGAAAAGATATGATATTTTTGCAATACTGAGAAGTCAAGCGATATTCTAATTCATTTGGACAGGTGATAGCCAAATTTTTTAAAAATAAAAATAAAAACCATAGCATTAATGTGGGCAATGAATCCCTTCGGCAGTTTTAAAGGACTTTTGTGTCTTCAAACTAAGAAGAAAGAGACAAAGTTAACCCTCAGACACACTAGTGTGAGCCAAAGAGTCTCTAATGCCAAAGTTAGTCATGGGCAATGAGTAAAGTGGGGCTTTTTAGTTTCAAGGAACAGATACCTTCTCCTTGAGGCGGAGGTTGGTTTATACAAGATTATATCCTGGCTGATTTTTCGTTGCGAGTCCACATTTTGAAATCAAATTGGGTGTGTTAAGATCCGTTAGGAGGCACATCAAGTCAATTAGTTGTTTGACCTGAGGTGCGTGAGATAATTCCCAGGAACAGACAAGTGTAATCCTTATTTATTGTTGCTGATTTGGGTTGATTTACCTGAGGCCTGTTTCTTAAGGACAAGAATTTTATAGTGAGGGTCTTATATATGGCCTTTGGAGCGGGCAATAATAAGATACAAGTCCAATTAGGGATGGCAACGGGTCGGGTACGGGCCGGGTATGACAATACCATCCCCGTCCCCGCTCTCCATCCCCGACCCCGTCCCCGAACCCATCCCTGTTTAATAGGTTTCGGGAAATCACCGTCCCCGTCCCCGTCGGGGGACTATCCCCCATACCCGCCCCGAATCCCCGATTTTTTTTTCATAAAAAATTAATAGGTTTCGGGGAATCCCCGTCCCCGTCCCCGTCGGGGGACTATTCCCCATACTCGCCCCGAATCCCCGATTTTTTTTGCATAAAAAAAAAAAATTTATCATACATTTTAACATTAAGTTTCATATTAATTTATCATTTAACACATCCAAATTAACTATAAAGTTCAACTCAACTATTCAAAATCACTTCAATACGAAATTCCAAAGAAGATTAGGAGAGAGAGGTTAACTTAGGGTTAAACATAAATATTATAATTATATATTTATTTATTTAAATATAAACATATATATTTTAGGGTCGAGTTCGGGGATGGGGATGCCAATACCATCCCCTCCCCATACCCATCAAGGATTTTTCAAGTTTGGGTTGTAGTAGGGAATTTTTGCCATCCCTAAGTCCAACATAGGAATTTTTGCATCTGATACGTTGAATTCCCCCTTCTTTGTATAAAAAAAGAAATAAATCTTATCTTAGGGTACAAGAGCTAAGGGCAACCATCGAAAGTGAGATAGAGCCAAAGAGAGCGTATTTGGGTTTGGATTTATTTGTGGGTTATTCAGAAACAGGTAATTGCTTGCAACCCGGTTGTAACATAATGATATATATATCACTAAAGTTATACCGTTTGATTGATCGAAAGGCTATCCGCCCCTCATTCTAGCCCGCTTGCTAGAGTTAGAGCGAGGATTGATTTACTGAGAGAAATAGGGAACGTGTAACAAGTGTGCTTGCAGCAATGCTGCATGGCCATCCAAACGTGGCAACTCCATCAAGAAACACATCTCACCGCTTCTTTCTCTCCCTATTAAGCCAAAGGTTTTCTCTACAAATCACACTGCTTTTGCAACCTAATCTGAACGTTGCAACCAACTCAACAATGGCAAACAGATTGAAACATCTTTCCTCCATAGCCAACGACGTCGTACAAAACTGTGCTCTGTGAGTGATCTCTCTCTCTCTCTCTCTGTCTCTCTCTCTCTCTATATATATATATATAGAAAACTACATGGAAGGCAGATGAAACGGCTACATAAAAGTGTGTATATGTTCGTTAAATCCTTCTATAGATGTTGTTCTCCAAATTGTTGGATATATAAAAATATAAAACTGGTTGTGTGTGTGTATATATATATTTGTTAAATGATTATGTTATGTGGCAGAAAATTGGAAACTCCTGTGGAGAAACTGGTGGAGGAATTTGAGACTACATGGAAGGCAGATGAAACGGCGCCGGTTGGTCATAATATTACTGCTACTAATAATAATAACAATAGTTATGGTAGGAAATTTGTAGAATTTTGCAGTGCCAAGGTTCTGCAGACTAGTGACATTTGCAAAACCATTGAGGAAAAGATTGCGGATGGGTCTTTTAGCCGCTTCACTTTCAACATGATGCTTGCCTGGGAGATGCCCACTTCTGCGGACGAAGAATCTTTCACGGTGATTGATTGATTAACTTTTTCCATTTTTATTGAACAGAAAAAATAGTGATCAACTTTGCATATGATTGTGAATAGTAGTATTTTTAATTACCTCCACCTCTGCTAGTTTCTTCTAACTATTCCCCTAGCCGTACCCTAAATCCTCTTAACCTTAGCCCTACCCTAAATGATGATTTTGTCACTGTTTCTAATTGCTGTACCTATTCAGCTTTGTAACACATGGTATTAATTTTTTCTTCTACCAGAATTCTTATTATTGGGATTTAATTATTTTTTGGTTTCGTCTCTAGTATTTCTATTGTTGTTGCAACACAATCTTTGGGGTTTTCAGGAGTGTGTGGCAAAGGAGAAAGAAGAGAAAAAAGTACCTGCAAAATTTTCTACAGAACAAGATGAGATCTCTCTGTTCTATTCCGACCTCATGCCACTTCTTGTAAGCTATATCAGTTCTTAAAATTTAATTTGCAAGCATTGATTTTTCAAGAACAAAGCATAGATGGAATTTTGGATCGAACCAAGTTTTGGTATGAAGTAATGGCAGTTGCTTGAACAAATAATCTTCTATTCCTCCTTGTAGTTGTAAGTATGTTTGTATTTTCTTATTCATGCTTTATGTACTGTCTGGCAGGTTGATAATGAGCAAGATGTTGGAGAAGATGCATTTGTGTGGTTGGGATCGCTGGTTCCACTAGTTGCAGATGTTGTTAATGGGAGATTTACCTTTGAAACTTTAACAGCACCTACAGGAAACCGGCTCCATTTTCCTGCCTATGACAAATTTTTAAAGGAAATTGACAGGTGATGCATCTAACCCTATATTGCATTTTTATGATGTATTGTAAGCATCTACACGAATAATATTGCTGGAGACACTCTTTAATACACTCTATGGCAAACATGCATTGTAAAAGACTAGCAGCTACGCATTTTAGACTAAAGAAAACAATAACACTCATTTGACATGTCCAAACTTAATCTAAATGCAGTCTTTGACCAATACTTGAATTTGAACCTTGTCATATGCAAGATTGATTACTGGAACTATCACATCAGTTGGATCTGCATTAGTTTTTAACTGTAGTTTTCCAGTCATACCCATTTATGGAGATTATCGAGGTTAGGAAGCCAAACATTGTATAGTCTGATTAAGAATACATCAACAACCTGCTTGCAGACTAATTTAGTTATCTGCTGAGCCAAATACATTTAAACGGGGTAGCAGATGACAAATGGTAGTGTAACTCATAAAAGTATGCTTACATTTAAAGTTTTGAAAAGATTGTACAAACTTTTTCCTTTTGTGTACTGTTTTGACTTTTGTAGATGTATAAAACATTTGCAAAAACATGCAAAGCCCAAGGGTGCGGAGCTTGCAGATGACGAATTCATTTTACATGTGGAGGGAACTGCTAGCACACAGAGAGTAGTGCGCCACATTGGAGGAACAAGTTGGCCTGGTTTGTTTAAAAGGACAACTTTGATCATCACAAACTTTTTTTTTTTCCCCAGAATTAAATAATTGCTTCGATCTGGCCAGCCATGAATTGGTGTTTTTATTTCAGGTAGGCTTACACTAACAAATTACGCACTCTACTTCGAGGCTTCTGGAATTATAACTTATGAAGATGCTCTTAAAATAGACCTTTCAAAGGATATGGAGCAAAGTGTGAAACCAGCTGCAACAGGGCCATGGGGTGCCCCACTTTTTGACAAGGCTATAGTTTATGAGTCTCCCAATTTGTAAGGACATATTACTCTGCATCGAATTTTTAGATACTAGTATTTGACACTGAAAAACTAAAACCTTCATAGTGCATGTTTTGACTCAACTTGTTTCATGCTAAATGCTGAAGGGTTTCTAGCCCTCCTTGTGGAAATTGTATGGATGTGACATCTACCTAACAGAAACACAACAAAGCAAAGTTTGTTAATTCTTGATATTGTTGTTTTGAATTACTCGTCTCACCAATTTTCTAGATCAGAGGGGATAGTTCTGGAGTTTCCTGAGGTAACAAGCTCTACAAGACGTGACCACTGGCTTGCACTCACAAAGGAGATTATGTTGATGCACCGTTTCCTTGCAAAGTATGAAATAAAATGTCCAATACAAGCATGGGAGATGCATGCAAGGACAATACTATCAATAACAAGGCTTCATGCAGCAAGAGAAATGCTAAGAATATCACCCCCTACACCGACAAGATTCTTAATTTTTTCCTTGTTCGATGAGTTACCAAAGGGAGACTATGTACTGGAAGAGCTTGCTGAGAGTCTAAAGAAGGTCAATAGCGGGCATCCATGCAGTGCTAGTTCCATTCTACGGACTATGAACATGTCAGAGTCAATCATCTCACGTTTAGATGTAACAGAAGCTGGCAAGGAAAGTATAAGTCCAACTGTTCAAGATGAAGACAGTTTCCTACTAGAAACTGCCATTAATCAATCAAGAGAGGAAGAAAAGGAAATTGCTATTGCCAAAGCTACCACAAAGGAACTGAAAGAGGAGGGAATCAGCGAAAGCACTACTATCTTTTTGGTAAGCATCTTACCCCCATCGATGTCACTTTACCCGTATGGATCTTTTTATGCCCTTCATTATCTTACCCTATATGACCATTTAAGTTACCCTTATAAAGATCTTCTGCTCACTAGGTGACCATCCCTAGTATGTTCCTCTCATATTTGTGGTGCACTAGTATGGATGTGGTTTTTTTAGATTGTCTCCTCACTAGGTGCACATTCGCATGCATCATTACTGTGCCCTTTTTTCATGTAGGAGTTACTAAGGCCCCTTAGAAATTCTGTGCCTTGGTTTGAAGAAGTCCTCACATGGGAAAGACCGTCAACCACCCTAGTTGTGATTGCTGCTGCTTTAATAGTGACTTACGAGTAAGTGTTTTCTTTAACTGAAGTGCTACTTTAGCTAAGTTGTGATGAGATTTAGTTAACAATAAGTTATTACTAACATTTAGGGAATGGGTTGGCAAAGCAATAGCAGCTTTCTTGCTGTGGCTGGTTGCAAAGATGTTTAGAGCCAGACTACAAAGGCTTGATACAAAATGCAATGAGATAGTAGTGTGCACTGCATCAGACCAGAGTACAATGGAAAGCATTGTTTCTGCTCAACATGGAATGCAAACTGTGCACGAAATGGTGCAAACGGCAAATGTTTCATTAATGAAGTTGTGGTCCATATTTATTTCGAAGGCTCGCAAGGTATTTACTGTGCCAAGCTATACATTTACTTCTACAACTCACTGTGATTTCCAGTTCTAACTATAGGGATATCAGAAAAGGAAAAGGAAATTAAGAAATGTGAGCGAACGAGAAATTATCTTAAAAGTATCGGAAATGTGAGCATAACATTGGCACCGAGATGAGTGACAGCATGCCGCAGTAATTTAAATATGAATTTGATGGGTACTTGGCAATTCAATTAATGGTTCAAATGTCAATGCTCATGTTATTGTCACTTTTTTCATGCTTATTTGAAGTTCTTGTCAGCGCATCATATTCTGCCGGTTCGCCAGTAATTTACTGTTGAAAAATTGTTGATTACTTATTTCAGTTTCATTCAACTGAAGTAATTATTGATTGTTATTGCAGCATGCAGATATGGCGATGATGGCAATGAGTGCGGTAGCAATATTTTTAGCAGTGGTTCCAATGAAGTTAGTTATAATGGCAGGAATATTGTGTTGCTTCACTATGACATTGGCATCGAGGTTAGGGATGAGCAAGGGGGAGAACCAAAGCAGCAGACGACTAAAAGAATGGTGGGATTCAATTCCAGTTATCCCTGTCCGTGTTGTCGATACTAAATAGACTTCTTCGTGCATCAGGTTTGGCACAGTGTCTCCCTGGAAAATGCATAGAAAAGAGTAGGTTGCATGTGTCCATTTGTAAATCATTATCAAAACCACACTCTATTTGGCATGATAATAATGGAGTTATTGTATAAGCAGCTTCTCTTCCGTCGTTCATTCAGTTACTACACACATCAAATATGATGTAACTGCAACTGCCACCACCACACCACCACTAATTTATAGATTGATAAAGCGATCAATTTTGTGCTTAAATCCTACTACACTACACTTTTACGTTAGCCAAACAAGAAACTTCACAAATTCCGTCATTTTAGTAAGATTAGTACATGTGATGGAGAACATAAGGGCATTTCTAACAAAATTAAAGTTTAAAACCACACGACTGGCATTCGACATGTAGGATAAACAAGAAGCACCATTTGTGATTTTAAACCGCCTATTTATTAACAAAACAACGAGTTGTACCCGTGTTCATATAGCAACAGGAGGTGTCAGCTTAAAGATGATCTGTATCTATTACAACAGCAACTGGTCTACATGTTTTTTTTTTTTTTTGCTGTTATAATTTTAAGATTCACAATGGACAGACTATCCCTGTAATTTAGTTCCGCCTCTTGAAAACTGTGAGTTAGAATCAAAGATGAGACTAAGTTTAGCGCATGAGGATAACCAAATAGTTACAAGGATCTGTCATGTCCAAAGTTCTGCCTTCCATGAAGTGAACTTTCCCTATTCTAATTTCTATCTACCTCATAAGAGTTCCTTGCTGCCCATCCCAAATTGCTTACTTTCTTGCCTTTTCCAGGTCCGGAAGATCTGTTAAAGAATCCAAAACCAGGTGTTAAAGAACATTGAGAGAGAGAGAGAGAGAGAGATGGAGATGCGGAAAAGGCATGTAGCATGCATAACGAAAGCAGCACTTTTAACACCCAAGACAGTTCATATGATTTTCTCTAATTTTTCCAAGAACAGACCGAAATCACAATGTCCTAAAATGCAGCGCATGCATTTCTTCTCATTAAAAGAGAAATGGACTCACTGAAAGTTGAAAATAATGGAGACAAAGTGATTGTAGGCTTTAGAGAGAGAGAGAGAGAGAGAGTGCTATGCATAGAAAAGCAGCAATGTTAATAGCCCACACAGCCTACATAATTCACTATGGTTTGTTTAAAAACACAATCAATTAGAAATGTCTTAAAATGCAAATGCACATTTCATCTTTAGAAGGACGACAAACAAAATTTAAACTCAACAATAAGAAAAAATGCCAAATGTACTAAAAGTCACACAAATTTTGGTTTCAAATATATCAACGTGACAGTTTATGTGGCATGCAATGCATATCGCACTACCCAAACCAATAGTAAACTTGGGAAACACAGGATGCTGCCACTGGCTTGCTGTCTATGCTGCCACATTATCTAGTGGAAGAAGTTTTGCAAATTCTTCACAAGGCTAACCAGCACACATGACTGGAATGATTTTAAAATTCAGGGAACGCAACCAATGCACATCTTTCTATAGAGAAACTATGATTAACATCTCCACAGGACAAATAGAAATATAGACTTACAGAGCATTCCATCATCATCACTGCTTCCACCATCTTGACCGACATACTGCAAAAGTAAAAAATCCATTTTACCTGATTAGATGAACTTAATTCAATACTCTATGATATAGGGTGTCAAATTTACCGCAGCATTGTCATCATCAGAGGCCAAATCAGCTGCAAAAGACCACGCAAAAGTTCAGTCAGATCCAGAAAAGTTTCTCTCAAGAACTAAAGTAAATTCCCGGCACATGATTCTAAAGATTATCAATTTAAAGGCAACAATAATACGGCCCAAATGGCATCCCAAGGCCAACCATGGGATTTCAAGTGAACAATAACAGCATCTTATAGATAGTCATACCCATTGGTATCTATAGCATGACAAGACCAGTGCTGTCATATCATCCTCACTAATGGTCGCCTGCTGCTACAGTTCCGGCTTGGATGTCCCATTGTGAAACCAAAGCTAATTCCAAATTTCTCAGATGATATAAATTCTTTTCTGTGAATAAATGCTGAAGCTCTAATATAATTGCATCTCCAGAGAGATTGCGTCAAAACTACCTGAGGTAGTTAGAAGCTAGGCATGGATATAAGAGTGATGGACATTTTTGCTACCACACATGACAGAAGATGGGTGCCAGTTTTTTATTAAGCATGTCATAGGTTTTCGGATGAGATACTACATGCCAGTTCAAAATGTGGTTTCTGAACTCATATCAACCTTATCGTAAACAACAAATACACATAAAGAAAATCAGTCTTATTTATCTAATTAATGTTAAGTAGCTAAAAAGAAAACAATCTAGACGGCATTTAAGTTTTCTATTTGAAAACTAAGAGGGGCTCGAGCTGTTAACCAGTAAACAAGTTATTCGGTTCCTCTCTCTCTCTCTCTCTCTCTCTCTCTCTCACACACACACACACACACACACACATCATAAGATGCACCTTAAAAATAATATCGTAAGTAACATTCATGACAATTCTGCACAACCTCAAACAATCTGATAATAATATGTTCCCCTGAATCATCTTAAAGGACTTCATCACGCCTAAAATGAATGCATCCAATCCTTAAGGACCAGATCCCCAATTTGTATAGCATATCATCCCCAAATGTTCGGGCACCATAACTTAGATGCTGATTTGGAACAGAAGGCAAAAAGTAGAAGTTAGAAGCAAGGTTTTTGGATGAGGATCAAATTTGGGGCTTCTTAGCTGGATACAGTCTGAAAATAGGAGGTACAAGGTTGCTGTTTTGTGCAATGCATACATGCAGAAATATTAATAGCCGACACAATTTATATAATTTACTGTGGTATGTTTAAGAACACATTCAATTAGAAATGTCTTTAAAATGCATATAAACATTTCTATCTTTTAGAAGGAAAACAAAACAAACTCAAACTCAAACGTAAGAAGCAATGCAAAATGTACTAAAAGTTTACAAATCCCTTGTGAACTTGACATTTTGATGGTAACCTAAGGATGTTGTTTCTAATTCTTACATCATTTTTGGTATATTTTTTTTCACTTTGACTCTGAGTGTTGGTGGGGTTTGTGGAATATGATATTTAGATTATCTCATCATTAAAACAAGACAAATTGCCTAAAGTTTCCTAATTACTTTTACAAAGCCTTACTTATACAGATCTTAATCCTAATATAATAAATTTGGACAAAGGATTTCCTCAGAACTTTAGGAACCCAAATTAAACAGACAACAAAAAAAAAAAAAAAAAAAAACTGACCTCTAACTAAACTAATCCTCAAACTAAAATTAAAAATCTAAATATTACTAATTTTCCCAGTCATGTCTTTAAAAGACAAAAATACCCCTGAGTGAAAATACTAATATAACCCCTACCTATAGAAAATCTTAATAAGGACCCCTCCCAAGATATCCCATTATAATGTGTAATCTACCAAAAAACAACTTTGCGTTAGTTTTGGAAGTCTTATGTCAAAACCCAGATAACAGACATTAGCCCACCTAGGCACGTATCTAGCCACTCACATCGGGGTGGGCAGAGCCATTTAGGTGGGGAAGTTTGGTGATGGGTGTGGGTTAGAGCTACGCTATTATTTAGGAAAATTTTTTCTGATTTGGGGTGGGCTGGAGTGGTTAAAGCAGTGACCGGCATGATAATGCAGGTTAAACTGCAACTTGTGGACTTGGGATTTATCAAAGACAAGATACGGCTGGCAGCAAATAAACTGACTTTTACAAGGAGTACGATTTGACCCAAAAGAGAGAAAAACAAAAGGAACGATGTGCAATCATAGCTGAAATAAAATCAAAATCTATTGAATAGAATCAGCTATGTAGTTACTCTCCAAAGAGTAAAAATGAGGGTTGATCTCATGAAGAAATGGTTTAGCATTTCATCTCTTTTAACCCCAAAAGATGCATTTCCCAACCAGATTGTATTCGAGGAACCTAGAATTGTTTAACAAAATTGCTGAACTGCCACCTAAATTGACTCTCTTCCCAGCATCTCCCTCTCCTCTCTAGGAAATATTAACAAACACAAGGTCACTGATCACACCTCTACATCCTTACAGCACAAAGTATGGTGAGAAGGTGTAGATACTCGATTGACTCTACAAATATGAAAAAGACACGTAGCTTGTGAATCTTTGCTTTCCTTTTTTCCAACTACTTGGAACTTTGGTCGTTCTCTGCTATCTTTATAATCTTCGAATAACGATAATTATGAGTGAATCCCTATGGCCTATTTGCTAAAAATAGAAGCCTATGAAAGTAAAGGTGCTAGGTTTTAGCCTTTCGTACACATCTTAGTGAGCAAATGAAATCACCAGATAGTGCTGCTTCTCTCCTTTCAATCTTTAACTACTGACTAGACAACACCAAGCACAGCAGATAGAAAACGCAACATACCTCTACTCTACCTACCAATCTAGGGCCTTTACATAAACAAATATCTCTTGAATTGTTGAGGAAATTTATTCCACCTCCTGCTTCACATTTCCCCTCCTGGCTCTTTTTTCACATACCATGGTTAGCAAAATAGTGGCAGTAGCAAAAACAACATCATCATCATAACAAGAACTATATTAAAGTTCATTTCTGTTTCACTCTTCACCTTGTAAGTCGCAAACTAGTTGCTAAAATTCATAACTACACAACCCAACAAATAAATATACCCAATTACAGAGGATATCAGAAATTTGCTCGCAACAAAAAGACTGTGATAACAAAAAATAAAACCAAGGTAATAAATAAATTTTAAAAAGCAGCTAAAATGAAATATATAAATACATTTGTTCCAAATGCAAGAGCAAAAATAACCCACTTCATGAAATGTTAAAAAAAGAACTCACAAGTAGAGTCTTCCTCGTCCTCATCACACCATTTGTTCCAATCAACCTTAATGTAAGGTGCAGGCTTCTCTTCAGTCTTGAGCAGCCGTTTCCACCAACCTTTCTGATCTTTCTGGATTGAGCAGAGGATGTTCCTCAACCCAGCTTTAGTTTTGCAACCATCAGGCGTTATTGGTCCGTAAAGGTC